AGCGGCACGAGCTCCGACGCGGGCGCGTAGTAGCCGTGGTAGATGACGACGACGAGCTCCGGGTTCGGCGACCCGAGCACGCAGCAGCGCAGGCCCGCGATCTCCACGGCGCGCGCGCCGTCCGGCGACGGGCACGGGCCCGTGTACTCGCGGCTCCGCGCCTCCTCGAAGCGCGCCTCGAGCTCGCTCCGCTCGAGGCAGTCCGCGTGACCCAGGCCGGCGTCGCTAATACTCCGCCGCAGCTCGCGGATGGACAGCGACTTGACGTCGAGGTGGAGCGCGCCGCCGCCGTCGCTGGCAGCGTCCCGCGCCGGGTGGTGGTGCGACGGCTTCGGCGCTTCGTCGTCGCCGAAGAAGAACTTCGTCGTCTCGGGAAACCAGTCGGCCATCGGTTCGTTTCGGTCGCCGCGACGCACAGTGAGAGGTCTTCGCGGGCCGGAGGCTGGTGCGGCGCGCGCACCACGGTTGCGCAGATCCGCCACCTCGCGCCGGCAAAAAGAGCTCGCTCGCTTGTGGTAAATTTATGTGCATGTTGACGCTGCTGAAGCGGGCACCAGAGTCTATGGACGGCGCCTGAGCCGGTCTGTGCACGTTGTACGAGCCGCAGAGATCGCACATGTCCTTCGCGAGCCTCCTGGAGAGCTATGATGGCGAGGACGCCGCGCCGCCGGCGCCGGCGCCGCAGCGCGCCCGGCCGCCGCGCACGGCCTGGTCGCAGCTCAACCGCGGCGACCGGCGCCTGCGCGAGGCGCTGGAGCGCGGCGCGAAGCGCGCGTTGCGCGAGGCCGAGGAGGCCTGCGGCCGCGGGGACGGGAAACGGCGCCTCGCGGTCTGCTTCACGGTCGTCGACGGTCTGCCGCACGAGGCGGTCTGGCGCGCGTGGGCCGACGCGTGCGCCGCCCGGGGCGTCGACGTCGCCTTTTACTTGCACGCGCACCGGCCCGGGCGCGTCGCGTCGCCCTGGGCGAAGGCGCGGCTGATCAAGGAGCACTTCGAGACACCGTGGGGCTCCGTGGAGCTCTGCCGCGCGACGCTCTGCCTCCTCGACGCGGCGCTCCGCGGCGACCCGGCGGCCGTCGCCTTCGCGAG